TGTGCATGCACACGTACACTGGAAACTAACCAGGATAACAGCCAACTGTCTTTGGACATCTCTTTTCCACATTGGCTTCAGCTCGCGCTCCAAACACACACTCTGTTTTCCCCTCCCAAAGGTTTTTACAATGTTCCTCTCAGGCATTATTAATTTTATCGAACAGCAGACTGTCAAGATTTATGACTTTTATCATGGCTCCAACCCAATGCATCTTGTATTGATTATTTCCTAAAATAACTCCAGGCTTGAGCGTAAACCATGGTGGGGCTCCAGCCTCGGCTTACCCTGGAGAATTACTTACTAGCATATAAAAAAAAAACACAACCATAGCAGACGTTTGCAGGCTTTCTCAGAGAGTCTATGTGTCCTCCGACACATGAATTCTCATGGTAATTGTCCATGTGAGGCCAAGCAGGACAGGAATCACTGGCCCTACACAACAGATGCAAAACACCACACCTGGGGAAGTCAAGTGACCATCCAACCAGGGTCACCCAGGGCTAGTCAATGACAGGACACGAATCCGAAATCAGGTTTTCCGTTTCCTCCTCTAGATGGGCTGCCACTGTCACTCACTGGCCTTCATTAGTCGGTTGGAAGACACCTTAGGGCTCTGACAACCCAGGCTTCCTCACCAGTCTGCTCCTGCCGTGGACCGCCCGGCCCTTCCTCCACAGCACCAGTCGCCAACACATCAGAGTGCACACAGGTCTCTCCAGAGTCACCCCGTCTCACATCATCATACCAAACTCCCCCTTGCCTTTAATCACCTATCCGGCTTTGGCCAAAGCTAAACCATACGAAAAAATAGATCCCTCGGTATGTTCCATTGTCAAGCATTGATTTTTGTTTTGTCTTTTTCATATCTCATTCTCTTTATTGATACTGTCCATGCGGGGGATAACTTGGTCATTAATGGTCTCCATTTCTGATCATTTTGACCCACCAATATGGAATAAATTGCAAGCACATTTTCTGAAGAATCAATTCCAAATGTAGCTGTCTTGGCGCATGATAAATTGTTTATGACAATCATTTCCTTTCCCCAGTCTCTGTACACGGCAGAGATCTTTGCGATTGTAACTGATGGGCAATGCCAACAGGGATTGATCATTAATGCTCTGATGCTGATTCAAACATACATCTGGACTGCTCCATTTCAAGAAGTCAAACAAAAATTTGAGAACTGGGGTTGGGCTCAAATGTTGATTGGCTGCCTCGCTGGCATATCTTTTTAACAGCTTCTCCACATGTAAATTCTCTCTTTTCTTCCATTCTTTTTTCAAATCAATTAGCTGTTCTTACTGAAAGGAAGTCTAACACTGATGGGTTTCTCCTTTCACTCAACAGGCCACATTACCTGAATACCCTAAAAACTAATCATTCAGTAGTCAGCATATATTTTTCTGCGAACATGTTTGCATTCATCTTACTGTATCAATAGTAAGATTCTTTTATCACTAGTGACTTCTTTTAAGTTTCATGTATTCAAACCAAACTCAATCCCTGTATCAGCATGTGTTTTCAGTCCTTTTAAATGATAATAACCCTATAAAGACAGAGATAATAGAATCAAGTGTCTTATCCTAATACCCACACTATTAACATGTACTATTAATAAATTTCCCCTCACACAGAAGGAAGGCAGCTTTCATCAAGATACCCATAGCTTCAGAGAGCACATGGTGCGGCAGACCGTTGTGATGTAAGGCTGCTACAAATCAAATGCTGCAGAAATGTAATTTTGCTTTCACAAGCCTACAAAGGAGATAAAACCAGACCAAATGCATCGGTATTGAGTCTATTCTGACTGATGGAATAGAACTGCCCCTTTGAGTTTCCAAGACTGCAACTCTTTATGGGAGTGGAAACCCTCATCTTTTTCCCATGGAGCAACTCGCGGTTTCAAACTGTGTGCCCTGTAGTTAGCAGCCCAATACATAACCCCGATACCCCGAGGGCTCGCTCCTTCCAAAAAAGATACTCCCCTTTAATTAAAACGACCATGATTCAATGTTGGTTGTTTGTATAGTCCGAGCTGTCTTCCCCGTAATGTTAAAGGAACTGTCATAGCCACTCTTTGGCACCCTTGGCAGCCTCAGTGAGGTCACTTGTCAAGGTGTTGAAAGAGTGACCTCCCCTAACTTCAGGGGGAACGGACAGAGTCAAGATCATCTGCATCAGCCACCCAAGGCTGA